AGTCCACCGATCAAGGACTGTGCCTACCTGATGAGCCCCAAGAAGGATGAAACCGGTCGTGGGCTGTCGAAGAGTTTTCAGCAACCTTGTGAGTAGTTTCTTAAGTCTATACTGAAAAGCCACGTGACTCAGAGTCATGGCTTCCTTCTTGCTGGGCGGAAGTGCCCACCCGACAAATCCCACCAGGTTATCGATCTGCTGACAAGGGACCCAAAGGGGCATTCTCTGTTGAGATCACGGGGACCGCTTACTTAAGGGATGGTGACGCTACATCATGCCTTGGTCAGAGTCCAACGCGGTGAGGTAGCATGGTGCTCCAGGCTCGAGTCCCCCTACTGACTAATTTGTGACATGCATGCCACTGAGGGCTTCAGATTTACATGAAACTTCCCACAGTGATTCTGGACGTTCCATCCATAGATTCGCTTCATTTGCAAGGTGAAACAAATAACTTAACTGTGCGAATGCTTCCTGTGGCATTTATACCGTTTCCACTGAGGTAACCAGATTATTGTTAAACCCTACATCCGATAAGCAAGGAAAGTCAATTTCTTCGAGCTGACGGTGAAAAAATAGCGCCTAGTTTGACTTTTGGCAACAGCCTTTAAGGGACAGACTATGCTCCAGATGGTCAGACTCCACCAACCCCCCGACAAATAAATTTACCGCCGTATCGATAACGCTTCCCCTAACCACCTTCCCATTTTTTCGGCTAACGGCAGTATGCTACATTGCCATTGTTGTGCCTTCGTAAGACGAATTCATGGAACACAAAGTTTTACATTCTTCGGAAGGATTAGGGATTAGTCAAAATGTCCGCCTTTTCGATTTATCCTGACAAGTCAACCGAACGGAAGCACGCCGTCGGGGCGGGGGGAGTTATTCCCGACTGTCATCAAGTTGAAATGGCGCTTCTGGGAAAGATAGACAATAGGCAAATTATTTCACAAGCAAACGCGCGCGACGGAAGCACGTGGACATGAAGGCAGATTGTCATGAGAGTTATTTGCGAAATTTCGTGCTTCAACTCGACGCTAAATTGCACGTTTTCTCGATAGCAGGAGAGGGTTTAGTAGGCCATAACGTGCTTTCATACAGATTGTTGTGTCTGACACAAGATCCCATGAAATAGTTCAGTGCATTCCATTCAGCCGGATAACCAACCTCTAAACGATGGACGAGGTAATTGTGGCGAATTGTGTAATCCTTCAGAATGTAAAAACTAAAATTCAGAAATCTCGAAACTACTGACAAGTAATCAAAAGGAAACCGTCTTGTAAGTACTGACAGATAACTCAGCTGACCGATGCAACTGTGAAAATGGATCTGGTTTTCGTCCAAGAGCTCAAAGTTCTTGTCATTCAGCGGCTGCCGTTCATCTGAAAGGCACGAGTGTAGAAAAGGTGTAGCATTGCTCTTTTAGTTCTCAGCGTGGGGCAGTATGCTTGCCGCGCAAGGACTTGCATAAATAACTGGGTTCGAGATGCAGCAAAAAATCATCAATCGTTCAGCTGTAACACCCTTCCGGCGCCATGCCACCCGAAGGAAGCACGAGGGCTGGGATATTGCCAGGTTGCCCAAGCCTAGACAGGGGAAGTCGACAGACAGAGATTGGGTTCGAACCACGGACATTCCGGTCAGTAAATTTGCGCCATCTAGATGGAGCAACAAATACCCGAGATGAGAAAATTTTTTGCCAAATGAATGTATCCGTTCTGAGCTTGAAAAGTTTTCTTACTATGTCCCCGCCGTGTGTTTGCTGGGTCAACGGTGAAAAACCTGTTTGTCAAGCTTTGTTCAAACAGGGCATAAGTAAGAATTAGGTCCCCTCGGAGGCGATAATACTCCGGGGGAAGGAGGTCAAGCACCGCGAGACGCGTTTCGTAGTTCACGGATTTGAGGCCGGCAACCATTCCAGTGGCGGCCCGCTGGACACACTCAATGAGGGTGACGTCTTTCGTGCGTCCTGGTTGGCGTACTTTAGGAGCGGTCCGACGTAGGCCCCATAGAGTATTTGGAAGTCCATGCGATTGATACGGGAGAAGGCGCATCGGATCATCCGTAGAATGGCGAATGCCTTTTGGGCCGATTTCTCATGTTGCAGTGAGAAGGACCAGTTTGAGGAGACCAAGATACCCAAGTCCTTTTTAGTACCTATCTTCGTGATGTATTCTGTTCCTCTCTCAACATGCACGACAAAGGCATTCGCTGAGTCCCTTCCGAATGACATATGGACGCCTTTTCGACATTCAGAGGAAGGTGCCAGTCCAACAATCTTTGCTTTGCCCTCCATTTGGAGGTCACTGGCATTGGAACTCCGTGAAATGTACTTGTAAGAACATCTGGAAGGTCGCTGACGTAGATCAGAAAAGGCAGTGATCCCAAAACGGAGCCATGAGAAACTCTAATGGAGAATGAAAAATGTCAGAAAGTGAAGTCCAGGCACAACGAAGTGTACGTAATGCTCGGAATAGTCTTGCCAACACAGAAAGAACCTTTTTTCGAACGGAAGGTATTTGGAACTGTGCACTGTGACAGTATCACCGCAGCTGAGCACACTCAGCAAGGGTCACGTGTATCCTACCCGACCGTTTTTCCTGTGTTGACCCGTTCTACAATACAAGGATAAGACGTTGTCTAACTGAAAAGGAAATAAGCCAATGGCGACCCTAAAGGCGAGCCAAGTGAGATACCGAACCTGGATGATTCTTCCAGTGCTTTGACCTGTGTCGTCGGATCGTCAACATGCTGATGAGGTATGCTCGAATGGTAATCACACTAGTCTGCAAGCTAATTGCCAACCTTGGTGAACAGATCAACAGTCACCTGATCAACTACCATTGGAACGATGATACTACTGATGGGAGGGCATGCGAGTAGTATGTTTTCTCGTAAATCCGCCTTGCGTCTCTTGAAAAGTGAGATCTATTACCGAATTTGTAGAGTCGCTTTGAAGCGTTTGCTTGGATTTGAGCAACAGTCAATGAATATCCGGGAAAGTTCAGGAAGACGCGTTCAAGGAGAAGATGGATATTCAGTTTTTGTAAACAAGATGCACATGAGAGTTTTGCTTCCCTGTCCAGCAGTCTGTAACTCTTCAGTTGGCATTTTCTAATGAATAACTCTGCAGCGAAGGCCTTCCTAACCTACTTAATTCTCACCCTAAATTTCTTTCATTTGGGCGCTAACTGTCGCCTACCCCAATTCCCCAAAGTTCTTCCCCCGAAACGAGATATCCCAAACACTAGGAAAACTGTTTTCGACAGAGTGCACAAATCGATGTAGTTCATCCATATAGGAACTACTTACAAGCAGTAATTCGAAAACCCAAGGTTTTCTAGTTCTGAAACATCCGTCAGTTGATTGATTGTTTTATAATTATTTCCACGTAGACTTAAAATGTTGCAATTTCTGTTACTGTGAACCTCAAAATGGCTTCCGAGAAATGCACTCATTTGCAAATAAATTTGGTTTTCACGAGAGACTCAACTGAATCTCGAAAACAGTCCAATTTGAGTTTAAGTAGAACATAAGGTGGACGGAAACTCGGGGACTGCGCCTCCCTGATGAGGCCCAACGAGAAGGACGAAACCGGTCGTGGGCTGTCGAAGAGTTTTCAGCAACCCTGTAAGTAGTTTCTTTCCTCAAAATGGTTTCTCATTATGCTCACATCAATAATGACCGTTTAAAATCTGGTTCCGGGTAAGTATCGATCCGCTTTCTAGGGTCACGGCTCTGCACTCGTTTTTGCAGCACTCGTTATCGGTGAGTTTTCTTCGCTGAGGACCAATTTTGGTCAGCTGATCAACTTTTGGGAGACAAAAGATGCCTAGTTAACCTGCATGCTGTACCTAGTCAGATATGTAAAAAAAAATCCGGAATTTTCTTTCCACCGAATTACTAAGATTGACCAGGGGTTATTGATACTTTGGTGTGTACCCCAGACACAAGATTACAGTCAGCATTCCGCAGGGAATGACTAAATTTTTATATTCGAACCCCAAACGAACCGGCGGACTTTTCTATCTTCAATCCATTCCTTGGGAGAATTACAACTCCCCTGCCTCATTCCACAACGATATTACTGCCACCCTCCCAGTTGATTTCATCGATTTCCACAACATAAGTTTCTGAGCGCGTGATGTGTTGTTTTTTTGTCAACTCGTCAAACACTGATTGTATGTGTGACACACACCAAGCATTGTTTGAGCATCATTCTACGGGGCGATTTGAATTACGCTCAACCCACACGATTCATGTTCACCTCTGCCCCATCCTCAAACGTGATTGGTCAATGAGTCCTGACTGGTACAAACAAACAAACAAACAAATGGATGGATTTGTGCCTTTGCGGATGCATTCGAATTCGAGCCTACAGCAATCGGTATCATCTGTGTCACAGACACACACACAGTGTTTATGGTACAAGGGGGGGGGTTGCGAAACATGCGGACAGAGGTTGCAGGTTCCGGCTGCGTGTCTGGTGCGTCCGTGTGGCGCGCAGTCACGCACTTCCACTCAGACAGACCGACAAGACCAACCGCCGCACAGCATACCAAGAAATAGAAATTATGCCAAATACGTACAATTGACCCAACCGCTTTGGATGCAAACGATCTTCTGATTTGTAGATTAAATTCTGTCCTCTGTAGGTTGGGTGGGGGGGGGCGGGGGAGGGTGAGAGAGAATGGAACTTTGTACACGAAAGAATGAAAGCCGGATGAAAAACTGGAGATACACACAGCCAAAGAGAAGAAGGGGATGTTAAAGATCGCACATTCATCCCGGCTGCCACCTCTCTACCTGAGTCCAAAGGCATCCGAAAAATCGTCAGTATGTGACACCTTCGCACACATCTCCACTGCGGGTTCCTTCGCAGTCAGCAAATACCGTTTGTTTGTGCGGCCAATTGGCGTGCGTGTAGCAAGCGATCATATACTAACTTCCGTCCAACGTAATTACGGGGTGGAATTTCAGTTAGGGGAACAAGATTCGTGACCATGAATTTCCCTATACAATTGCATAAATCGGATCATCAGTTTACACATTTGAGTGTTGCCTATTCCAAACCGGAGGACGCAATCATGGATGTGGCCTGTTACAGCCAGATGGATGAGAAACGTCCGGTAGTCATGGATCTATCAACTAGACGGGATTTTACTGGGATTTTGAACAACTGTCCTACCGTGAAACCCATACCGTATCAATTGCCGTTGCGAGCTGGACCGGCCACGAAACCGCTGGCCTACTGTACCCCCAATCCTGTCCCAAATGTTCCCGAAAACAACCAGGTTCATCTGCTGGAATATCGGGGTGCCCAGCTGGCTGCATTCACAGTGGAAGGTCGTGATCTGGTCTGCTTACCCCAGGCATTTGAATTGTTCTTGAAACACTTGGTCGGCGGCTTGCATACCGTCTATACCAAGCTGAAGCGATTGGAAATAGTCCCAGTGGTGTGCAATGTGGAACAGGTGCGAATTTTGCGAGGCCTCGGAGCCATTCAACCGGGAGTGAATCGGTGCAAGCTGATTGCACCACATGAATTTGATATATTGTACGCTGACTGTACCAGTTCCAGGTGAGTGGAAGGCATTTCGTTTCACCAGCGCTTTATACATTTTGTCTGGAGTTTTTTGAGGCTCCTTATCGTGGGCCAACAAATTCAATCTCTTTGATCAAAAACTCGCATAATTGTTCGGTGAATTTTACCAGTCTATTCTATTTGCGTCAGTTGGTAGGTCACACGCAGAGGTCAACTATTTTCACCCATACGTAAAACTAAAAAAAAACAAAGTGTGTCACATTAGTTTCGCTCTCTCTGGTAATAGGTTCCAAGTTAGGCAGATGGCCTCACGGGGACCAGATCTTACTGAATACCTGGAGTGCGTCGAATTTGTTTTCACCCAACGTAAAACTAAAAAAAAAACAAAGTGTGTCACATTAGTTTCGCTCTCTCTGGTAATAGGTTCCAAGTTAGGCAGATGGCCTCACGGGGACCAGATCTTACTGAATACCTGGAGTGCGTCGAATTTGTGTCCAGCGATCTTCGGCAAATTACCAGCCAGAAAAATGTACTCCAACTGGGTGTCAACTGTACTAATTCGACCTAATTCCCTACTAAGACTTTCCACTCGCGACCTTTGGTTCAATTCACATTCAGTTCTTTTAAACAACTTCTCTTAGGAAGATCTCATCACGTTAGAAAACTGCAGCTGATGAAACTAATTCGAAATGTGTAACTCTGGTACCTTGTCTTGTTCTCGTTTTATGTGACTAAATAAAATAGAGTCAGTATCTACACATTCAACACAGCTTACTGAACGACCGATCGTGAGAATAGATCGATAACATTAGGCCAACTTCCGCCAACGTGCTGAAGATGGTACGTCAATTTCCTCATGCATATACAGTAGATCTCACTCAAAAACTAATCTGTTGCAAGAAATTCTTCCAATCTCACTCGCTCTTTGAACTAAACTTTCCGTTAAAACCTAGCATGTCTTGAAAAATCAGATTCACCAGTATCACTCCTCACACCAGTTCACGTGACACAAACTCCGCTGTTGCTCTCGATGCTTTCAGGCACCCAAATACAGCTGAGTTATTTTCAGTTCAAGGTCGTTTTTGCAACGATTTTTCATAAATGAAGTGGTATTGCGACGATGTATTCAGGCAGAGTTGTTTTCACTCACTCTACCGAGTTGAAGGATGCTTGAGGCAGTAGTCTAGTCGGCGTGCACCAAATAGTAGATAGTTGAAAGTGACCGAAGACTCACAGTTTCCCAAAGGCATGTTGATTTTTCTCGGCTCGGCCTTCTTGTTGAGACTCATCAGGTAGGTGCAATCGCTGAGTTTCCGTCAACCTCATGTTCTACTTGAACGTCAAATTAGACGTGATTCGCGAAGTACACTCATTCGCACATATTTGGTGGATTCACCTGAAATTCAGGTGAGTCGGTCGGTAAAACCAAATTTACTTGCAACTGGGTGTTAAAAAGACTTATTTTTAGCATACTGACAGCTGCTGTTCTGGTGTGAAGTCCGGGTTCAACCAATAATAATAAAAGCGTACAAAACCGTATTCTAGGTCGTGATTAGCACTCAGTGATGAGTTGTCCTGGTGATGTGAGCCAAACACTGGAGCTAATTGACAGATACCTTGTGAACAGTGCTCAGTGTTGTGGAACAGAGTTACGTCCACATGGATTTCGAACTGAGCACAGAAAAGTGAATGCTCGCAACCGGCAGCCTGATCGTGAAAGTTCTCTTGACCACTGACACTGTACAGTCCTGTGAAAAGCCTTCACGAATTTGCTGATGACTGTATACAACCAGACAGAGAGCGAATGGAACTTCAAAGGTCTCTCAGCTGCACGAGCTGAGAGCAAGTGTTCCGCGGTCGTCAGCGTTTGCGTTTGAAAAAACTACGTTTTGGATGCCCTGGATCGTCTGTTTTGCTGTTATCATCTCATGTTAGTATCTCACCTGATCGGAAGCACAAATAAGAGGCTCCTATTGACTGAAATATTATTCTGGCGGGAAAACACCGTTTAATTGTACTAAATGAAAAGTATAAAATCGATTTCCCCTTGAAAAAAATTGAAATCATACCCTTCACTCTATGTCTCCATGTATGGTACGTAGTAAAAGGGCCATTCCAGTTCCCCTGCTCCCTCTGAGTTGTCCAGATGCTGTCAAAGTCCCTTCAACAACATGAATCGTCTAGATCCGCGAATTATTGATTTACGGAAGATTTTAAAATCCAGAGTCTCGCGGAATTAAGTAAAAGCTGTGCGGAATCTTGCCCTTCAGTTTCTAACCTTAATGTAGTTCCGAACCCCCCGCCCCAGTAACAAGGTAACACCCAGTAACAAATGAACATTACAGGTATTTCCATGAAGGAAACTACTCACAAGGTTGCTAAGAACCAAATTGATTTGCGAATGGGTGTATTTCTCGAAAACAGTCCATTTTGGGTCCAAGTAGAACATAAAATGGACGGAAACTAGGAGACTGTGCCTACCTGATGAGCCCGAACTGGAGGGGCGAAACCGGTCGTAGGCTGTCGAAGAGTTTCCAGCAACCTTGTGAGTAGTGTCTTCTATGGAAATATACTGCGATATCTCGAATATCGTGCCAACTGAAATATGAGGCGGCCTGTGTGCAGCACATTCAGTTGTAGAATATCATAAACGAGAGATTCAGTTGAGCCTCTCGTGAAAACCAAATTGATCTGCAAATGAGTTGTATTTGGTGAACATATGTGGTGCGACTTGTTTGGAATATCTCATTTTGGGTAGACAAACAATGATATGAATTGCGTTTCTAAAATCGCTTCAGTTGACGAATTTTAAAATCAGTCTCAGGTGTGCGGGCACAAGGCAAGCCATGTTAAGTTTGGTTATATAACCGCTAGAAACAGCAGTCATTCAAAGATCCCGATCCTGGATCACTCACTTGCTTGCCTGTACCACCCCAACTTGGTGACAGGTGTGACATCTTCACAGTACAAACCGACTTGGTCGCTTCACAGATCGTCACAACTAATTCGATGGAATAAATGGTCTGGGAAACCCCAGCTAGAGATGTCTGTGTTAGTGGAGACCATGTCGACCTTGAGACCTTGAAACTACATAGATAGTTGGTGACGAACATTGTCGTTTTCGCAATACCCTCTTCTCATAGTTTATTGCACGGTATAGGAAGGTAAAATTAAGCAAAGGTTATGGACAGAAGATTAAAAACAGTTTGCAGCACGATCGACTGGACTGAATGGCTTGGTTTTATTGACAGAGTCTTTTATATGTCCTCTGATTGTTCCAAGCTGAACCCTTTTCCTCCCATCTGCAACTATGGACTCCCATTCTTTCTCAGAAAAATTTCTATCCTGATTTGCGTGGTGGTTCCTCTTTCTTCGAGAACGCAAAGTTGTTTAGATCGCTTTGGAAATCTACTGGCATTAAACTTTTGGCTGTACTCCAACCTGCCAATTACCCAGTGTTGGCCTGAAGACCGATGACAGCACAGTCCAGCTTCTTTGCAGTGAGACTTCGGGTGGTAAAGATATCGTTCCACACATTTTTTTGATCGTGAGACTCAGGATAAGGGAACACCGACAAGAACAACCGGAGCGTCCTCTGAGATTATTTTCTGCACGTGCCATTCTTCTGTTTATCAACAAATTCAGGTTAAACTGACGTTCCTCATCAAGTTCACTTCATAGCTTAGAGGACAAACATATATGGTGAGACAGTTACTCACATCTCTCTCAGTCTTCGTTCTGTCTTGGTACAGTGATTCTGGTAAGTCCACACCAAAGAGGGAAGTTCTGCTCTTATTAGACTTCACTAGCAGTGCATATCTCTGGCCATGCCAGGGCTCGAACCCCGGACACCTGACCTGGGAGGCGAGCTAGTCCACCAGGGCACAAACCGATTGATGCCTGTAGGGAAGGTATGTCTTCCGCCAACCCGATGACATGTCATCCGGACACTCGTCAGCACTGTCATTAACAGGGTCACATCACTTTCGCACGCCTGGGCAGGATTCCTTATTAACGAAGTATGTATCATTGTTATTATTGCCATCCGGCCGTTACATCCCCCTTGATGCCAAGTTGCCATACCAGGAAGTACGATGGCTGAGCTCCAACCAGATTGCCCAAGCCCAGACAGAAGTAGTCCGGATGCTGGAATTGGGTTCGAATCACGGATATTTCGGACAATCATTTCGTGTCTTAACCACTGAGCGGTCTCGAACTCATTACTACTGATACATGTGCATGAATCAGACCAGTGGATCTTTGAAGGAATATTAAACATGGATTTAAAGTTCAGTGGAAACCTATCGATTTGGACAAACTGTACGTTTGCGAGTGTTTCCACTCTTTCACAAGGAACTAAGGAGCTCTCTGGAAAGCTCTTCAAACAGCCATTCGGAGGCAACTGAGCAAAGAGGAATACAGTGGGATACATGATGACATCAACCATGAAATCGGTGACCCAATCTGGTCACTGTCCTAACCTCCTGGTTATCAAACCATCCTTTACATCCTAGAACATTCTAGAACACTGTGCAGCAGAAAATGATAGCGTGCGCTTCAGAACCGAATAGTTTATCGACCAACGTCAACTAAGCTATCAGGCACGAGAGGCAAAATCTCATATGAACAGAGTAATTAAAAATGGAACATTCTCGAGTGTCTTCTGAAACTTTTCTGGACGCCTTTCGCACACTAGACAATAATGATCAATTGCTCCGAATTGGTTCCATATTTCCCAAAGCAACCTTCCATCGGAGGCAGGGATGGCACCTGACCAAACACTACTCACATGTTTCATCAGTAGTATACATAATTACAAAGTTAGACAGATGTCATGTGTGCCTACCACTGTTTCTAGTGCGATCTGTGGAGGGCGACAATTTTGATTGTTATGGTCTAAAAATCGGGTAGTAACGATGACCAAAACTGTTCGTGGTCCCAGCCTTTTGGTTTGCAAACCAGAGTATACATGGTTCAGTGGTTAGAGCGCGAATTTACTGACCGGAAGGACTGTGGTTCGAACACAACCTCTGCATCTCGGCTTAGGCAACCTGGCAGTATCCCAGCCCTCGTGCTTCCTCCTGGTGGCATGGCAATTAGGCACCGAAAGGGTGCTACGGCGATGCTAAAATGAGAAAACCAAACAGAATTTGTATCTGTGGTCATCCACAAACAACTCCATTTCCGGTTCGCTAATTTTCTGTGAAGAACTCAGCTAGTTTTGAACTCACCAGCCATCGATGCACCATCTTATCGTTGATGACCTCAAGTTCCAGAGTAAACTTTGAGGTTCCTTGCAAGGCACGCGAGGGAAATATCAACTGGGGGCCTTTGGAGAAATGATGTAGCACACTATAGTGTGAGAGGCGAGATGGACCAAGTGGTTAGAGCGCGAATTTACTGACCGGAAGGTCCGTGGTTAGAGCCCGACCTCCGCCTCTCGACTTACCCTGTCTAGGCTTGGGCAACCTGGCAGTATCCCAGCCCTCGTGCCTCATTCGTGTGGCCTAGCAGCTAAGCACCGAAAAGTTGCTACAGCTGGACGATTTATAGAGATTTTTCTACAGTGTGAGGAATTTCAATTTCGCCCAAAACAACTGTAAATTAAAGGGCATCCTTCAGACTATGGATCGCTAGCTGAGACCTGGAAATCAAGACCAGTTCCCTAACTACGGTTTCTACCTAATGAATAGCTTACAGTTCTTAGGTTTTACAATACCTCCAGTTGACTGCAACTCCCCTAGAAAGTGTAATTACACCAAACAAGTCCTCTGGAGTTCGCATCTTGCACGTGGATGACTGCATACGGTGTCCGAGTCTGGTCTATAAGAGCTCTTCAAAGCGACGTGAAACTCGATACCAGTGAAGATGTTGGAGGAAATAAAATTGAGCCTTGAAGTAATTACCACTGTGTGCTGCATTTGCGAATTTTCAGGTAACCAATGGCAGACAGGCAGAGCATGACAAATAATTCGGTCTACTAACCAATTAGTTCAAGAAAAGTGGATTTGTTTGCCAAATGTATCTGGTCCCTTTTTTTCGCTACATCAAAAACACATTTGTGATGACTCTGTTGCGAATAGTCAGTTGAGACGAAATGG